ATACCAAGGGGGCAGAGAATCTCCTCGTCATGGTTCAGTAAGAAAGTCCTCATTCTTCTCCGTTAGAAAAGCAAATGTGGGGTAAATTCAGGTTACTGAGGACTGATGAAAAAAATCTCAGCGTTGAAAAGCTCGGAATATCTGTGTCTCGACCCTCTGTTATTCTAGATGTTTGTACGAAGAAAAAATTACCGAGGAATCCATAGAATGTCCTGAACGCTTATATTGGTATATAAGCCAAAGGACAAAAATAAGAGGAAATTTTCCAGCACTATGGGAAGACAATACGGCTTCATCATTAGTGGAGGACCACATTAATAAAGCTCAAGTATTCTCGAACGAATTTAGCTATATATACCATAGAAACACCCTTCCTGTCAGTCCATACAAACCCCTCCACATAAACGCGGGACTGTGTGACGATTAAAGAACTCGATGTCTTTGGTCTGCTAAAGAAGTTAGATATAGGCAAATCCACGGGACCCTGTGAATTGCATCCCATGTTACTAAAGGAATTAGCTAACTTCATTGCGAACACTTTGAGTATATGCTTTAATCTATCAGTGAACCAGGGTCGTTTACCAAAAGACATGAAGAACTCTATAGCAAGTCCCGTCTTCAAAACAGGTACGAAACATAAACCTGAGAACTACCGACGCGTTGGCCTAACTAGTTTGGCTGTCAAAATCTTACAAAAGATTATTCGGAAGGAGCTGTTTAAATTTCTCGATGAAAACCGGATCTTTTCGGAAAAGCAACATGGTTTTAGAATAGGCTATTCCTGTCTCACTAAATTATTAGTGGCTCGTGAAAGCTGGTGCGCTCTTAAGGACCAAAAGTTACATGTAGACGTAGCTTACATTGACTTCAGCAAAGCTTTTTACAAAGATCAGCACAACCGGCTGTTGTATACGTTAAGAAATGTCAGGGTTGCAGGCAATCTATTGATATGGATACAAGACTTCCTAGTTGGACGTCAACAAAGTGTACGGGTGAAGTCAAAGTTGTTTAGCTAGAAAACTAGGCTTAATGGTATGTCCCAGGGCACGGATTTGAGGCTAGTGTTATTCCTCTTGCATGCAAATGACCTTCCTCGTCTAATAGCACCATCGGTCTTGCTATATGCTGACGATGTCAAGATATGGGTAGCTTAGAACTTCAAAATGACCTGGAGAACTCATCTGAATGGTCTCAAACCTGACAGTTACCGATAAATACCTCCAAGCGTATTGTGATGGTCATCAAGGTACAGATACATACATGATGAATAACTCTGAGCTACCTGATGTCCAGACACACAATGACTTAGGCGTCATAGTTAACCAAGACTTAAAGACTACTGCACACTGCCGTGCGATAGCCGCCAAAGGTTTTAGAACTTTATGGTCAATACGTAGGGCTTTTACTCATACAGCGTTCGTGCGTCCTAAACTCGAGTACTGCATACAAGCGGCTAGCTCGTGCTTAAGAAAACAAAGTGAGCTTTTGGCAAGGATTTTAAGAACAGCAACCAAGCTGATTCCCGGAATAGTGAAGATCCCGTGTGATGCTCGACTGGCTAAGCTAAACCTATTCCCGTTTTCATATCGAAGAACTAGAGGTGACTTGATTACGGTTTTCAAATTGTTTAGTGATAAATTTGCACCTGTTATGCCAGCATTTTTCTTGTCTTCAAAAACAGCGAATTTACGGAGACATTCAAAAAAGTTCAGAAGCCCAGAACAAATTACTTGTCAGCAGACTATCGACTTTCCCATTGAATCATGAACGAGTGGAATTCATTAACTTAGCAAGTGTTTGAGGCTCCATCCGTCAACTCTTTCAAAAGAAAGTTGGATCAACTGGGAGACCATCATTGCCAGGACTGACACAGGCCACTAAGCCTCCTGTCCTTTCCAAAAACAAAAGGAAACTATATATTTATCATATAACTATTCAGTAACTAAATCATGTTTATCTACATTCCTCTTATTATAAGCTTAGTTTCAACCTATAGATTATTATTATACGATTTACTGTTCTTACGTTAGGTTCAGTTTATTAACTATAGTCTCCCACGTTCACAGCCACATTTGGCTTGATCCGATATAAATTTTGTTTCCTATTTTATGTGGTGCAGTCTGTTTGGCTGGTATATAAACCAAGTATGTTTGAAGTAAATGATTAGCATGGTGGAATCTGTTATTGGTGTTCTGGACTCAGTTGGACGGGCTAGGAGAACTAAGGACCAACAAGGGCGCTAGAATGCTCATACCGGTCGAACGTCCTTGGTTAGGCACAGTGCTAAGATTGTATAAGTCGTATTTCGATTGGCGAATAAATCACGTGATAATTAACTGGGCTTAAAGTCACAACAGTTGTCATGTTATACAGATTCGACCAATTTTGAGGCTTTACCAAAATATTGCAGATAGGTCTAATCTGTGTACACCGTTAACAATACTGTTCACAACCACACCACTGAGATACCAGCTATAGGACCAGTACATGTGATTGGAAAATCTGTTATCCTGTTTTGTGTTAACCTCAGACATGGTAAGCTTCCAGCTCCTAGTGTGTAACACCTGTGGTTGCTGTCATCCCTCACGGACACTTTCTTAACCATTCAAGATATTGTTTAACATGTTCCTTCCATGAAATCAACACCCCTGGGATTGGAAAGATGGTATAGTTGGCCGCATATTTAATAATTAATAGAAATGGGTCACGACTGGCTACCAAACTGTCAGTGTAACAAGCTTAGAGGTTGAGTCACTCGAAAAAATAATAATAGCTAAATTACAAGGTCACCCAGAATCATACAGTATGTAAATACTTAAGAAGTATGGGTGTTAAAATCAGCATTCAAGCCTAACAAAATTACCGATTGCGAGAAAAGATTGGATAGCAGTGTGACATAACGGTTTGTCTGTCGATGTGATGCTCTTTGATTTTAGCAAAGCATTTGTTAAGGCTTCCCACCTAAAGCTTATGCAAAACCTCTCGAGCTTTGAAATAACGTGTGCCGTACAAGAGTGGATAAAAAGCTTCCTATATGACCGGAGACCGATGGCTAAGGTGGATTGGAGATTATCTGAACGAAAACCAATTAAAATCGGTTCTGTCTTAGGCTCAATATTTTCACTTCTCTACGTCAATGAATTACCAAAACTACTTACGTCATAGACACTGTTCTATACAAATGACGACAAAAAATCCGGCTAATAATCTTGATTTCTCAGTTTATCTCGATGAATTATCTGAATGGTCCCAAATTTGCTGCCAAGAAGTTAATTCTAGAAAAAGTTTACTAATTTCGCGCTGGTGCGTATACCTCGTCTAAGCAATAGAAGTAGTCTTGTAGTGGCATTGGGCCCCGACACGAGACTATATGGTTGAATAGACCTTTATTTGGATCGTGGTCCAGAATGGTTGAAGCGCGAGGTTCTCTTTATCAAATACACAATTCTTTCATAATTAAATACAAAGCGACAAGAAATATTATGTCTGGAAATAAACTAATACTTGAACTATAATGTCTTGATATTGCCAAGGTGTTTTCTGACAGCTCTTGAACAATCAACCTAAGGTGTTACGTCAGCTTCCTTCTAGGATCGACTTCCGTACGAATGACGGCCTGAACAACTTACCAAACAAGAACATGTCAGTTCGGTTCCTGCAGCATAGTGGAGAACTACTAACTCCGTCAGTGTTTGGCCTTTAATCGATGTCGATCAAAGCTTAGTCAATATTCTGAGATACTCCATAGATGTCATAAACTTTACTAGCTAGTTATCTTGTCTTGTTGCATTTACCTTTTTACACAAATTATCATTTATGACTTGTTGAGTGTGTCATCCGTCTCAGGATCAAAACTTGTAATTATCGACCTAAACCGCTCTAATGAACAACAGGGTATAAATAAGTCAAATACGAGAGTAGATTTTAAATACGCATATTTCATACACTCATTGATCTGGATAGACACTCGGGGAAACGAGGCGAAGGTAACGAAATGACGCTCAGTCGAGAAGGCAAGTGAGCCAATTCGATTTGTTCAAGTGTGACGCAATATTTATAGTCAGATCAAAACTAGTTACAGGCACGCAATGAATAGGACGAGCAATTAGCACACACAAGACCATATAAAGGTAGTCAGGATTAATAAGTGACAAGGTGAAAATGAAGCTTGAAATAGATGAATGAACTAGTCTGTCCATATGCTAAAATAACCTTTATGGAATTGACATAGTACCAGCCACTGCAGCAAATTACATGGGTGCATGTTCTATTAGTCATAAATACCGCTAATAATCAACCCACGTAAGAAAATATTTCAGTTTGGCCTGCTGTGATTTTGTGTGATCCAGTGGTCAAGTACGTAACCTAGTACTCAGGAGGATGGTAGTTCGAGTACATGCAAGGGCATTTTTTTCGTTCTTGAGACTCACACTGATACGATGCTCGTTGATTTTAAGTCATTCAGAAATGAGAAGAAATCAGAAGGATGGGTTGGTATACCAATGTGCCATAACAAATCACAATGGAATGAATAGTGTGAAGCGGTGGTTAGCACATCGGACACGGTAAAATTCGTCAGTTTACTATCGACGGCACACAGCTTCGATGCGTGTAGAAACAAAAGAGCCAGGCAGTAGTGTTAAAATTTCTTCACTTCATGGTTCTTTGAGATTTAATCACTGGGGTCACAACAAAAACGTTTAGAAGACATGGTCAAATAAGCCCAGAGTTTTCTTTGCCGAGTGGTCAGCAGCTGGACGGCTCCATCAATGAAAGTGGATCTTCCCTGGGAAACAAGCTGTAAGCATTAACAAAAGACAAGCAACGTACTATCCTGAATAGTGAAGACTGAATACAGTATATTCAAATTTGTGTAAGTAACCAGCGTTTACTACAAAGTTGAGGTATTATTCAAAATTCTTTGTGAATCCTAAGTAAATTAAAACTTCTTCATAAACAAATGTCATTGTTTGCTGAACTAAATACAGATTTCGTTCAACACTGTAGCCTTGAAAAAGGTCATACATTGTTTGCTTACGCCGAGGTCAATCACCAGCAGTGGAACCGGTGAATTGAGTCATTTTAAGAATGGAAGGTTAGAGTTTTGTTACTAATGTCACAATGTTATAGGAGTTAAAAATCCACGGAGAGCTAGTTCGGCTAAAGAGTCTAGATTGGCTCTACTAGCAAAGATGCGTGAGGCAAAAGAGAAAGGAGAACGTCTTCGCATTGTGAGTAAATATGCAGCTTATTTCCTTTCAGGAAAGAGACGAGCAACCAGTGTACGAAACTGTTGACGAAGCAGAATATGCTGAATTGGTCAGAAAACGTCTGGAAGATGACTGGATTGTTGATGATGGTTAGTTCTTATGAAAGTGTGATATAGAAATTAAGACAATGCTTGTTTTTTTATTTAGTTTAACAGAACTCATTGGTGCCTGTTTTTTCCAGTAATTAATGTTTTAGTGAGAATTAGAATGACAAACTTTAGCTTACCTTACTTTATGAACACAGTAAAACCGGTGTAATCGGTGATGGAAGTAATTTATGCATTTTCACTTTGATTTAAGAAATATAGGCAGCCTAGAAGACAAACACCATGGCTTTTGAAAGCTGGGCGAAGACTGCATGTCTCTTCAGGTTTTAGCTGTATATATTATGTCTAGAATATCACAAATTTATTTCTGGAATAGGTGTATTTAGGTTTAGGTTCGATAGCCAGTGTTTAGAATACAGAATCTTGAACATTAAATCAATACAGTTTGCCAAAATAACTTGTAATTGTAGACCTGCATACACTAAACTTTCGAGGTTAAATCTTTGTTCTCCTTTATAAATGCGATTACCTAGGAGTTTGAGAGAATTCGGTCAAATAAAAATTAGCTGTTGGGAAAAGCTGTGTCTAAAATCAACCCACACTAGCTTTTCTACGGTGAGACTTCGGTTGTTCACAACTAATACTCCAAGTTAGTCAGACACTGTATTTGTACAAGGTCAATTTTCGTCTACTGACTGGTAGTAACCATTCTTTTCATAGTCAGGAGTACTATTTTCTGTAGTGAGATTTGCAATCTTCACTTGGGGTAGTCAGTGCACAAATTGGTCAGTTTGTAGGTTATATTTTTTTGCAGACAACTTAACGGTCGGCATGTGTTTTAACATGACCATCCCTGCATATCTCATAAAACATGACGTATACTTTTTTATTTCCCGTTTTCATAAGATACCTATTTCATAATACATAGATGTTTTCACCTGTAGCGAGTCAACAGCATTTACTAATACCGTTACGTGAAGATGACTACAGGAATTTGAGTCGGTTCCACTTGTTTTGTCTGAGTAGTAGTTATTTCGAATCGAATAACATGAAATTGCTCACCAAAGGACTATGACTCACTCATTTTTTTGTCCATATGTTGTTAGGTTCTCTGACTTGACGCGTGTTTCTTTGTGACTTTAATATTTAATCTTAAGTCAGTAAATTAACATTAACTTTCATGTCTAATTGATATGTAGAAGGTGGTGATTACGCAGAAGATGGGAGGGAAATATTTGACGATAACGATGAAGATGAAGAACAGTTTGATTTAAGACCGAAAGCGAAGAACATAGTGTCGTCTCAGTCAGCACCGAAGAAGAAACGGCTTAATCCTGATATCCGGGCTAGTGATTCAGCACCTCTGCGTCCTTCTGTTGGGCGTGATATTCGGAGTCTATTTGCTGCTTCATCAGGTTCAAATTCGAGTAAGAAAAGAAAAGTGAGTTTCCTCGTGTAATACGCTTGTAAAAATCAGTTATACTTCCTTTCCCTTCCATATTCTCACAAAATTAGTTCATTGCACTCCATACAGAATTTTCTTTATTGTACTTAAGTATTTTTCGCGTCGTATGCTTCTGTTCTTGTTTGGTGTTTGATAATGCTTTGATAAATACATTTATTTGGCAAAGTCAAAATCACGGCAGCGTTTTTAATATATGGCGGACAAATAATATAGTTGTCTCAACCAATGTCTACGATTGTCTAAAATTAACCTGATGGAATAATAAACCAGTTAAGTGCATCATATAGTTGTGCCGTACTGTCCAATTCAGTCACTAGTGCACTTTCCTTGGGTTGAACCGGCAGTTATGTAGAGGAAGAAGGCCAAACTGTTTTATTGGTGGTTGAATGATGAAACGACTCATTTACAGACGACCAGACAAACATTTGGCTGATCATCTCAGTTTAGTGAGTAATTCTTTCAAATTAGCTTACTCAAACTCTTCCCACTTTGTCGTTTTGCAACTGCACGTAATCTGTATTCCGAATAGTACATCAACTGGGAACAGAAATCAAGTTGGAGGAACAGAAAAATGAGAAATTTGTGAATGGAGCACACATCTAGACTATTGGAAGATTTTTTTCACTGTTTCAAAGTTATATAACTCTTTATCAAACGTTCTTCTAAGTCAATAGTTCACTTATTATCTTGTTTCTTGATGAACTTCAGACTCGTTTCCCCAAAAGTTTAGTGATGACTTAGGCAAAAATACGTGTTAGTCATTTCAGATTAAAGAAAAAGACCTATTCGTCTAAACGTCGAGTATGATCTAAAATTTATATTATTGTTTTCATCTGTTTCAAAGGCTACTGTGAGACATGACTGGACTCAACTCTTACCCCAACTTAAGGTTTATGGTAACTCAGTTTCAATAGTCCTAGCAGCCCAGAATATTATCTTTAGTCTCCTATTAAGAAAGTCCTGGATTGATGCAAGCTCTTGTATACACACTTAGTTGTCCCTTGGTAACTACTGTCATTGCTCTATAGATTCCTGGAGGATCACAACTCATAGATTTGTGTTCAAGATGTGTGATCACAAAGCCACGTACTATGACTCATTATCATCACATATAATTTTTATCTAAAGGTGACTTCGTAGATGTTGTTGCCAGCTAATTCTTGTAGTTCTTATTTTTTATTTTAGTGGTTAATCGCTGCGTACTGTTTGAGGAGTAGTTAAAGGTCCAAACTTTCAACCATCAGGCCGCAGGTTCGAGTCTCATTCCACCTAATTCGGTTTGAACCAGGAGGTGGAATCACTAGTTTTCACACTTAAATATAGCTCAAACCCAAGTACACAAATAAGTACTTTTTGAGTTGCAGTACTGTGTAATAATTGTTGTATATGTTGTCTAGAAACGACAACTCAAAATGCAAGTCATCAAATATATTCCAATATTGTAGCCAACGACATGCAGTCAAATAATCACTCCCTATCTTCAACATTTTATTGATTCCAGCTTTTTGTGTTGTATATTTAGGAAAATGTTTACAGTGACTCCCGGTTAACATACAATTTAATCACTCCCATTATAATTATAGTAGTCATCGGTACTTCATACACACTTTGTCCTCACTTAATCTCATACACCAAGATGCTCAATGTTCATTAATTTAAATAACTATTCGCTATTGCAGTTGTTGGATTGGTGATTTCGTTATTATTCACTCTTTTCTCAGTATATTAGTATCCGAACTCCTACATGATTTTAGAGTTCTTTTCATGCTTGACTTATTTCTTTATGAATATAATTTCAATGTCAGACCTTATTCATTTACTCACTTGTCATTCACTCTATTTGCAATGTTTAGGAAATGAAAGATCTCTCTGTGGACCCGAACCTAGATGATTTGTTAGCGGAATTAGAATCCTCTGTAACAGAACCTAAACCTCACCACCATAACTCTGATAATTTATCTCGGAAAAGTTCCGTAGCTTCAAAACGAGACTCTGGAGTACATGGCAATGTGGTAAATACACTTACCGCCTTGAAACGTCGTTCACCTGAACGACCAGAACAACCTATTCACACAATTAACGGGCCTCGTCTAAAACTTCCCTTAGTATCTGAAAAGAAGCATTCTTCACAGACTCCACTTGATCAGAGATCACGTAATCCTTTCTCGTGTCACAAGCCTGCAGAAACAGAGCAGAAAATTGGGCACAGTAAACCACAGGTTACCGAAGGTACAATAATATATAACTGATGCTTTTTATGTAAAAAAATGTTTTTATTGCTTTCTATTTTATAAATAAACTTGGTCTCCCCCAAAGGAGCTTCGAAACAAGCCGCCGAACAGACCGTCGGGATTATTTTATTACAACCGCTGAGTGTCTTACAAACGTGTTTTTTTCTTTAGATGCTTTTCACATTCTCGAGATCCAACTATTGAGTAGATTGGAGTTGTTTAGTTGTTGTTACGTAACCATCGTGTACCGCTTCTTAATCAGGTGTATGTCGAAATGGTAGGAGTAATTAGGATTTCCTAAGTGGGATGTCTACGTCACATCAGTCGTTATTTGTTTTACTACGTGTTTCTTACCAATCGTTTACTTCCACTCGTGTCTTGATTTTGTTAGCATCGAAATATTCGGTGAAATATTATTAACATTTTATTAAATGGTTTTTAGAAACATTCCTCTTCAGTCACACCATAAATGTCGTTGTTTTTTGCAATTATCAAATACTTTCTGTACGTATTTTACAATTATTCGCTAAGTTACGTTTTAGTTGACAAGTATAGTCCTTGTTGTTCAAATGCTGCGAAATAGTTTATCAACCTAACGCTATGGATAGATTTATAGTTTCACTGGGTGGCCAAATATTATTCGCAAATGAAAACAGCTTTTCTAAGGGTGACTGGTTGGCTCAATGATAGTTTAATATCATAATAGTCCTTATTCGTGTCTTCGGAAATACCCTATGACTTTAGATACTAGGTAAAAGCTGTTACTCAGTAGTAGCGTAGCGTATTGAAGAGGGAGGTTGATTATGAATACAGTGGTCTTTAGTGCTGTTAGAGTTATGAGGGCGGTTATCACTACCTGGTTGCCCACACCGTGGAAGGGTTCTCCTGGAGGTACCTGAAAAGGGAACTGGGTTAGAGGTGGTCATAGTGACCTGAGAGCGTGACCGCAGTGCCCAAGGGACAGCTGCTTGAGGTCGGTTACACACGACCTTTTTATGAATAGTTTTTGTGTTAGCTCCGTATTTGTTGAGACCTTACCTCTGGAGACGGATATCCGTAGGATAAGGCGAGCTGTGCATTTTTTGGGTCGACCTTTTCTAACCCCACTCCTTCTTTTGGGAAGGCAGCATCGCTGTCATGTTGGTTGTCTGAAGGAAACACCTTACTGCTGTCACACCTCTGTACAGTCAGCAGTACGACTTCGCCTTCAGACCTTGGATTTGTTGCTTTTAGTCTTACCGCTCTTCAACCGACCTGTCTGGCATGGTAGGACCTTGAGGAACGGTTGTTCCAGCCAGTATAGCTCAGTTGCTTCATCACGATAGGCAAGTCCGTATACTTGAATTGTAATAACCTAAAGAAATTATCAATTTTTCAGCTATTTCTCTTCCACTCGAAGAGGCAACATCAATGGTTTCTGAGGTGGATGAGACCAACTTTTCGGAAGATTTTGAAATGGAGATGGTACCAAAAAATGTTCAACCTGCCGTTCAGCCACCAAAATCAACAAGTGGATCAAATACACAATCAATAACTAATGTAACTGCTAACTGGTTAACTGAAGAAAATCTAGCTAAAGCTGATGACACAACTTGGATAGGTGAAACTAGTCCAGTTTCATTTCCTCCTTCATCAGGCAAGGGAAACTTTCTTTACTTTTATTGGTTTGATGCTTATGAGGATTTCAAACAACTACCAGGTATGCCACGGTCTTAAATAATTTGTTTAGCCATCATAAATGCTAATAATCAATTTTATGTTATTACTTCACATATATTTCCGTTTTAAGGTTGATTGTAATACTAAACCTGCGTCTTAGATAAATTCAGATTAGTTTTGATTTATGGAGTTATGTCGTTCGAGTTGTATGTGAAGTATCTCTGTACTCTTTAGTTTGGGTGCAGTATTTATATTGTATTTGTAACTTCATTGTTGCACCCAGTAGAATAGATCACTCAACATGTGTAAATGAATTAACGTACAATAATTAGCGAGAGCAGTACATTTCTTACTTACGCCTGTTACCCCTCGTGGAGCAGCATAGACCGCCCACCAGCATTCTCCATCAAACCCTGTCCTTGGCAATCCTTTCCAACTGTTTCCAGTGGTTATTCATCCTTTTCATATATTCCATTTCCCAACGTAATGTGTTCTTCGGCGTTCCTCTTTTCCGCTTCCTTTCAGGATTTCAAGATTGGGCTTGCCTCGTGATGCAGTTTGGTGATTTCCTTAATGTATGTCCCATCTACTTCCAACGTCTTTTCCTAATTTCCTCTTCCACTGAAAGCCATTTTGTTCTCTTCCACAGTAGGCTGTTGTTGATGGTATCCGGCCAACGGGGATTGACCATCTTGAGTAGAAAATTGTCTAGAAATACTTGTACTTTCATGATGATGGTTGTAGTAGTTCTCCAATTCTCAGCTCCGTACAGTAGAACTGTCTTAACGTTCGTATTGAAGATTGTGACTTTGATATTGGTTTATAGTTGTTTTGAGTTCCATATGTTCTTCAGTTATAGGAATGTGGCCCTTGCTTTACTAATCCCCGCCTTTACATCTACATCTGATCCTCCTTGTTCATCGATGGTGCTTCCCAAGTATGTGAAGGATTCTACATCTTCCAGAGTTTCGCCATCAAGTGTGATTGGGTTGCTGTTCTCCGTGCTGTATTTGAGGACTTTGGTTTTCCCCTTGTATATGCTGAGGCCAACTGATGCAGAGACTGCTGCTGCACTGTCTGTCTTTATCTGCATTCGTTCGCGTGTATGCGATAGAAGGGCTAGGTCATCTGCGAAGTCCGAATCGTGTAATTGGTTCTGAGATGTCGAATGTATTCCGTGTTTTCCCTCAGATGTCGAGGTCTTTATAATCCAGTCGACCGGCAGAAGAAAGAGGAAGGGGGAGAGTAGACAACCTTGTCTAACTACGGTTTTTACTTGAAATGCATCTGTCAGTTGTCCTCCATGCACCGCTTTGCACTGTATTTTGTCGTATTGTGGTGTATGCTACTTATGTAGACACAAGTAGTATATGGTGTTTGTCGTGAACAGAATGTCTGGCAGCAGAGAGACAAGATTGAACGGTAAAGAGTGAAGACAAAATGCAATTTGTATGAAAATGCAAGAACAATGAAGTCTGAGTCATTTGAGACAATTGATAGACATTTTGCAAATTGAGCATTTAATATATGGTTTTTAGATTTTATTAACAAGTTCTGTAATTTGTTGTCAAATACATTCAATTGTTCCCCACTCGTGTTCTGTTCACTTCAGTATGAGTCCCGGATAATGTTGTCAATCTTCTGAGGAACTCCAAAGTGTCGAAGAAGTTTCCATAATATTCTCCTCTCCACACTGTCAAACGCCTAGTAGTGAATGAGGTTGATTTATATTGACGAGTTTCACTCAACTGATTGTTCGACGATGATCCGTAGTGTCGCGATTTGCTCTGTGCACGATCGATACTTACGCAATCCAGCTTGTTGATCTCGAAGTTTAGCGTCTACTGAATCTTTCATTCAGCTCAGCAGCACTCTGTTGAAAGCTTCCCTTGGTACTGACAGTAGTGTGATGCCTCTGTAGTTCTCACATTTGATCAGATCTCCTTTCTTCGGTATTTTGATGAGGTGTCCTTCTTTCCAGTCCGTTGGTACTTGTTCCTCCTCCAAAATCTTCTTGAATAAAAGGTGAAGCATGCTTGTAGTTATTTCTATGTCTGACTTCAGTGCTTCGGCTGTTATGTTTTCTTTTCCTGATGCTTTGCCACTCTCGGTTTGTCTTATGGCCATCCTGATTTCGTTGATCGTTGGTGCAGTGACATTAATAGGGAAGTCTGTAGGTGCTGATTAGATATCCGGTGGATTCAGTGGAGCAGGTCTGTTCAAGAATTCCTCAAAGTGTTCCACGCATTTGTTCTTGAATTTCAGTGTTTGGATCGCCTTTTCCGTCTTTGATCGGTTTCTATGGTTCTCTGTATTTCCCTTCCACCTTCGTTACGTCATATAGCCGTCTCAAATTTCCTTCTCTTGCAGTCATATCCTTTGTTCCTGCTAGTTCTTCCACTTCCACGTGATTTATTCGCCAATCGAAATACGACTTATACAATCTTAGCACTGTGCCTAACCAAGGACGTTCGACCGGTATGAGCATTCTAGCGCCCTTGTTGGTCCTTAGTTCTCCTAGCCCGTCCAACTGAGTCCAGAACACCAATAACAGATTCCACCATGCTAATCATTTACTTCAAACATACTTGGTTTATATACCAGCCAAACAGACTGCACCACATAAAATAGGAAACAAAATTTATATCGGATCAAGCCAAATGTGGCTGTGAACGTGGGAGACTATAGTTAATAAACTGAACCTAACGTAAGAACAGTAAATCGTATAATAATAATCTATAGGTTGAAACTAAGCTTATAATAAGAGGAATGTAGATAAACATGATTTAGTTACTGAATAATTATACTAATATATATATATATATATATATATATATATATATATATATATATATATATATATATATATATACATTACATAATACATGTCCATTAATAGTTCTCAGAAGTTACCCGTCACTTAATCTTTACTAGGATATAACAAGTAGCATTTCCCCCGGATATAGCCTTTGCTATCCATCTTGGGTTCATTGGGTTTTGTTGGTTCCGAGTACTGCCAAATTGTATCTCCTCATTTCCACAACTGTTTGACTGGTCCTCCCAGTCTTCCATATTGTCCAAACGTTCCATGTACCTATAAAAATCATTGCTCTGGTTGTTTGAAGGGGCATCAGCCCCGTGACTTCTGAGGAATCTCGGCTTTAATCCTGAGGTATCATAATTTTTCCTTCAACTCCGTGGGTAGAGTTTTAATGGTTTAATTTGTTTAATCAGGTTGGCATTTTTTTAGCAAGATTTTTTTCTACATATAGAGATAAAGACATTTAGGATAATTGACAGACAACAAAGAATAAATGGAATCTCACCAATTGTATCTGATTTTCCTAGAATATCTTGCACAATTATTTACAGGCTTCACTGGGTCTATATGCTCATTAAATTTGACCTGACCAGTCTGTGTCAGCTGTTATTTATTGACTGTGTTATGGTTGTTTTTTTTTTGTCAATGTAACAACCTATTTCTTCATACTTTATTCACCGTTTCAGGCATTGTTTACCTATTTGGCAAACTTTATGATCTCTCGAAGTCTGGGACGTATGCCAGCTGTTGTTTGCGCATTAAAGACCTTGAAAGACGCATATTTTTACTACCACGAACATCATCGGTTAGTTGTTTGTTTTTAAGAGTAGGATAACTAATTTTTCCAACCAACTGTCCTGCATCTACCGCTTATATCGCAAGGCAATAGTCCAGTTGATATGTTAAGTTAATCGAGCTGTACGAACTTGGATGCTTCGTTATTAGGTTTTGATTTACCATAAAGTTAGAAAGCTGTATATCTCTTAGGGATCTATGTTGATGTATGAATAACTTCATTGTGATGAACATGCTTCCGTGTAACAAAAGTGATGTTTACCTAGGTTAACCATTGTCTCAATTTTTTCGTCTTTCTTTGTTGGGAGATAGAATTATAAAAACATCATCTCTGTAACTGACTCTAAAGTATTTCCTGATAGAAGTATATCGTACCACTGAAGAAAGTTATCTACTTAATCTTAACGTAAGGAGAGGCTGTTAGTGCTGTTGATAATCTGACAAATAGTTTTTTCATAATTTAAAAAATAGTTTACTTCTGGTCTTTTTGTCATTTATTTATTTTCAGCCTGAAAATGGTGAGCTCCCTACTGTCAAGGATGTTTACATGGAATTTAGAGACTTGACTTCACAGTTTAAAATTGGAAAGTTTAGGTGTAAAGTAAGTATGCTCTTGTATGATAAGTATGAATGTGTAAATGACCTCTTAACTGTTTGCGTTGACGCCTTCTATCACTATGTTGAACCGTCTTTCAAATGTGCTGGATCTGCGTTCAGTTAAAAGATGTTTTGTAATTTTCCCATTAAAGTTTACCAATAATATGACTAGTTTTTTACATTCTACTGGGATTTTGTTCACGGCAAGTATGAACTAAAATTATGTCATATCCATACACTCGTCTGAATGCCGTTATGTTAATGTAGAATGCTTTTTATTTATTTCATTACCATTGATTGTTTTGGGTGTCCGAAATTCATTTAGGGTTTTTTCATTTGTTAGCTAACTGTAAACATGACCCGATAATTTGTCGCTTGAGTCGTTCCCTATCTCTCAGATGTTTCTGGCATGTAACTTGATGTGTATCCTGTATATTGAAAATTTTCAAGCGATTTATTTGAGGAGAACGAGTCATGCGTTGTTCATAAAACTAATGGTTACTAAAGACCATTCTGTCCGTAATCATGTCAAATCCAAGATCTTTGTAAGGCATAATTAACAATTTAAATCTCACTCCTATCTTTGAGGGGAAACGTAACCATTTAGGAAATTAAGCCATAGCGATCTAGTGCGTCAAAAAAGGCAGTTATCATTGAGCTGTTTTCTATGTGATTAATTACTGAGTAAAATCAAATAATATACATTGGTTTTGTTTAATTTTTTTCTGTAAATTTATCATTGTGTATGTCCTTACAGTACATTTGTATTGCCTTGGTGTATTGCCTTTCACAAACTATTCACTTTGACATTTAAGGTTAGTTGATTCGATAACTTGTTTCGTTTGTTGTATCGTTACATCTTCCCTATTATTTCAGACCACTGAAAAGCGCTATGCTTTCGAATATGCCGATGTGCCAGAAACAAGTGACTATTTAGAGGTCCGTTATGCTGCGTCATACTCGCCTTTGCCAGCGGATCTTCAAGGAAAAACCTTTTCTCACGTTTTTGGTACAAACACCTCTTTGTAAGTCTTTTCTATTCGCAGTTGACTTCTAACTACGACGCACGTGCAATTGTATCAATAGATAGGTATCATAGATTTTCTCAACTACTTCTTATATCTCGATCCAAAGATTAATTATAATCCTATTTTTATGTATATACCTTGTAAAAGTCTCCATTCAAAATCACCCCTTCTCTAACATTGTATCTAATACTTAGAATTTTAACATGCAATGCAGACTCCATCCACCTTCGGGTAAAAAGTCGGATTTTAAGTAATTGGTTTTCATTCGCCATGAGTGGAATATTCTAATCGGGTTATGATTGTAAATATAACATTACTTAGTTTGTTATATCAATTTCCCAGTTACTGATAAAAGCAAAAAATCTGCAAATCAAACGTATGACAAAGTTATGTGTTCTAGTCTACCACCCTCGATCGTTTTCACCAATGATTTTCTGTTAATCATACTTAGAAAACGTAAAACAGTAAACAAGTAAAGGTTTCGTACTTGAATTTGAGCCACACTTTTTATATTAGAGCTAATGAAACTGCCCAACCAATCGAACTTTTATAAGTGAAACTGAATTCTAACCTGACAATTGAAGTTGTATGCTTTAACCTCTAAGTTATCACCGATTTTTACAGGAAGTTCCAACATAACCAAACGTTAAATGTCAATAAATTGGTCTTTACTATGAATAAGTAGTTACGTAGGTACGTCTCAACTAAGGTAGAATTCAGAATGTTGAAAGGTTTACCAACTAGATGACTGTTATCTATATATAATTGCTCAGAGATTTGAATATTTACCATGAAGTAGTTTAATAGTTTAGTGTACATTTAGTCTTTTTCTCTTAATTCCATTGTTATTTAGTTTGGAGAACCTAATGCTTGACTTACAGTTACGTGGTCCCTGTTGGCTAGAAATCAAAGATGCGTGTAAGTATTTCTAAGCTTTTTTTTACATCATTGTATACGTAAATTGTCAGTTACACTCATCACTTCGATATCCCCTATCCGTAGAAGTGATAGATTTTTAAAAACTTTCCCATCTTACAATTGATCCGAATAAAAGAAAATATTTCTCAGACATGTAAATTAATTAGTCACCCCTTGGATTGACCTATATTGTACTTAAGTTAACGTGGTGTAAACATTATGACTTACCGTCCCGGTTTTGCTTGAGTAAAGAGCCTTCGGTAGAGGTTTCGGTCATATACACTGGCATAAGACCTGTTAAACATGACATATAGGTTCAAAAATCCTATCTGTATACCAAAATCTATCAGATTAATTATTTAATCCATACATCAACTATGTCTGAAATTGTTATGATCTCTCTTATTTCGATCCGGTTACTTTTATTGCTTGGTATTCTTTGAACACTGCTTCACTCGACAAGTCCCCAAATCATAATACGGTCGAACAGGAATATAAATAAATAAATAAACATTAAATGGAAGTAAGAATCCTAATAAGAAAAACGTTATCGTATTTATAATTTCTGCACAAGATTCTAGAGTCTTCTCCAAGTATCCGCTAGCTCTGATTTGGTAAGAAATGGTCAATCAGTGTTCCCCAACACAATCCTGCTCGAAACATGTTTAAATCCAATCTAATCGCGCCAACAAAACCCGTTTTAGTTTTCTTGGGTGTTCCTGAGTTCAAATTTAATGTTCGATGGTTATGGAATCTAATATTTCATACATCATATTTAAACTCATGTCTGGTTATCACAAGTGTTATTGTTCCGTCTTATAAGCTGGTGTTATCAGAGATCATAACAAATTTAATGGAAATCCGTTCAAATTTCAAACTGTGCTTAATGTCTTTGCCATGACTAGGCCTTCATCCCATCATGATTGCTACATTACCTTATTTGAATTGGACACTTCGTCTTTTTAAAATTACTAGACAGTAGTAATGTTACTGTCTTACTTACATCTGTTACCTATTGTGGAGCATAAGGTATCGACAAGAACCATCCAACTAACTCTATCCTCGGCTCTCCTTTCCAGTTATTTCCGATTGCTGTTTATTGTTTTGATGTCTGACTTCAATACCCTGCACAGCATCTTCTTTGGTCTTTCTCTTTTCATTTTCCCTTCAGAATTCTGTGTTGGGGCCCAGCCTCGTGATGTAGTTTGATGACTTCCTCAATGTTTATCTTATCCACCTCCAATGCCTCTATGTAATTTCTTCTTCAACTGGGAGCTAGTTTGTTCTCTTCTCCATTAGGCTGTTGTTGATGGTATCCGGCGAACAAACATTGTGTATCTTGCATAGATAATTGCTAATGAATACCTGTACGCTTTTGATGATGGTTGTAGTAGTTCTCCCATTCACAGCTCTTTACATTAGAACTATATTGACGTTGGTATTGAAGATTCTGACTTTGATGTTGTCTGACAGCTGTTTTGAGTTCCATATGTTCTTCAATTGTAGGAATGCCATTCTTTACCGATCCTCACTCTCACATCACTGCGTCAGATCCTCCTTATTTGTCGGTGATGCTACCATGGTACGAAAATCTTCACACCTATTCCAAAGCTTCACCAAATGTGATTTGGTTGGTGTTCTTCGTGTTGTTTTCGAAGATCTTGATTTTTTCTGTGTATTTTGAGGTCTACTGCTGCAGAGGCTGCTGCTACACTGCCTGTCCTCACTTGCATTTGTTAGTGTGTACGGAATAGAAGATCTAGGTAACCTGCGACGTTCAAATCGTTCAGTTGCATCCAACCTGTCCATTGTATTCCGTGTTTCTCAGATGTCGAGATCTTCATAATCCAGTCAACCACCGGAAGAAAGAAATGGAGAGTGTAAGCAACATTGTCTGACTTCGGTTCTCACTTGGAATGCGTCTGTCAGCTTTCCTCCATACAGGACTTTGAAGTGTAGTCCGTCATATGAATTCCGTGTAATGTTGACGATTTTCTCAGGTACACCATAGTGTCAAAGAAGGTTCCACAAAGTTTTGTTGTCCACTCTGTTGAATGCTTTCTCATAATCAAGGAAGTTGATGTTAAGCTCTGTCAAGTTGCATCTCCTCATTTCGGCAGCTTTTTTACTGGTTCCTCCGGTCTCTCACATTGTCCGAACATTCTATGTATCTATATTGACTGTTGCTCTGGCTGTTAGATGAGGCGGCGGCCTCATGACTTCCGAAGAAATTTTGGCTTTCACTATGGGGCGTCATAGCTATCCTAAATGAAGATCCTTCAACTCGGAGGGCAGAGTTTAAATGGCTTAAATTGTTTATTCCGGTTCTCGTTTTTAGCAAGGTTGTTTTCTACGGGAGGGGGTTGCTAATCTTATGCCCAACCACCTTCCTTTATTCACTGTTCGAACGTGCACTCAGTCAGTCAGCTGCAACGTAGGACCAGGCACATATATGCATCGGTCCAAGTTGCCATACCGCATTAGCACAACAAGATGAACACCGGATTAATAGAAGTAGTTAATTCAGTGGTTGTTATATATAGAAGAAAGATTGTGTATAAGGAGATAGTACAGGACGAAAGAATTAGTTCGTAGAAAGAACGATTTGAAGTGATTTTAATCTCTTAGTTTAAAGGAAGACGGAGAGTGTATACACCGACGCCATTGTGATAGATTCTGAGCCGTAAGATCCAGAGTCTCCAACTATTGGTTACGATAGTCACATGGACCCCAACTGAGTAGTCTGCACCTACCAACATGGCTCAGACTAGAAGTTAATGACTTCAAGGACTGATGCTGCGCCTTGGTTTGGCCGCCCCTAACTTTCTTCCAATTATCCCTAACACCGGTTACAATTGCGCGTCGTGGTAATCGGTGTTCAGGCATACATAGCACGTGGCCCAACCATTTCAGTCGATAAAGATTCATAACCTCATCAACTGACTTACCATCATTCCCTAATACCCTGTGTCTAACCTCACTATTACTTACCCGGTGATCCCAGCAGATGTGAGCAATATTTCTAAGGCACCTGTGGTCAACTACTAGTAACTTACGAGTATCTTCTACTCTTAAAGGCCATGTTTCACAGCCGTATATTAGAACGGAACGAACTACCGCACAGTATACTCGTCCCTTAATTGAAAGATGGATATCTCGCCTTCGCCATAGATGACGTAAGTTGGCAAAAGCCAAACGAGCTTTTCGAATCCGTGCTGAGATTTCGTCAGACACCAACCCGTTAGGGCTGATCAGACTTCTAAGATAAGCGAAGTTGTCTACGCGTTCGACTACTTCACTCCCTATCCTTAGTTCAGGTGTTGACGCAGACCAATCCTGAAGCAACAACTTGCATTTAGAGGGAGAGAAGCGCGTCCCAAACATTCTTGCATTGTTGCTCAGTGCACTAACCCTAGAAGGGCTACTTGCGGAGTTAGAAAGTAGTAATGTGGAGTATTGAATGTAAATAAAAATCCAAAATTGCAAGATTATTGTCTGTCATATTATTTTGTCGATGTAAACAATATTAATTTTTTCTGAATACCAACCTCTTACTTATTCTAAGTCAATCAGGAAATTTTTGTACTTGCCGATGAATGCTATTTGTAGTTCAAAATATGACTGCTGTAGTTACGTTTTTAATAATTTCTGCTGTTTTTTGTTTTTAGCACAGGTTCAGCCTCAGATAAGTTGGTGCCAAATTGATTATGAAGTCATTTGGAGGTCAGGAAGTGGATGTCCAATCACAAAATTGTCCACTGTTATTGAAAGCCAAAAATTATCATCAGACAATACTTTAGATTTAATGAAAGTTCCACCAGCACCACCGCTGTGCTTAGCCGCTATAAATATCAAGTCAGTTACACAAAAACATTCAATTCATTCTGAGGTATGTGTTATTATTAGATCTAGGATACAATTCGTTTTTGAACATGTTATTGGTATTGAATTTCGTGGTTAAGTAGTTTTACTTTCATAGTACTGCTTTAAGTGGTATAATTTAATAATATCGTAATAATAATCAATCAAAATTGTAATATCCACTATCCTACTTGCATATACTTGGAAACGGGAACCACTGTGGTTACCACTACACAAAGTAAGAACACAAAGACTTACAAATAATGGTTTATTAACTCCACAAAACACAAAATAATTTGTCCAAAATCCCGTAATTGATAAACCAAACACGTTCATCTACATACTGGTTTAGATAAGATAGTCATTGGAGGTAGTCAACAGGAAACCCTGAACCTACTGGTTTTTACAAATCATCTACACACGGTTGCTGTAAACATACAAATTACACGCAGAATAGTGCAAGGGATATAATTGTCATACTGAAAGAAAGTTCACGCCTGTCATATGGAAAATAAACTAATGTTATACTGAATAAAATGCTATATTGAGAATAATGACAATGTCACACTGGGAATAAAGCGTTGTCATGAATTGTTGCACAGAGTAAGAAAAAAAGTAATCTTACCGACTTGCCAAAAATACATTTATACATCTCAAAGACACATTATTTCAATCAGGTTGTTCAATTTTACAGTTTCTTTTGTGATTGTGTTTTCTTTGCCAAATCCAAAGATTTTTGTTCTATTGTCTTTTGCGTCAGTCCCTTTTTTAATACATACATTTTTCACGGGAATCATGGATAATAAATTTCACGAGACCAGTATTATATTTGTTACGCTATTTTTCCCTTTACGGAGGATTTTTATGAAGTAATTTTTCATATCGGGGCACATAATAGTTATAATCTACTTACTATCCAATCAAGTCAAACGATGACCTATTATATTGTTTACAATCATCACTTTTTATTCAGATCCCCAGTCCTCGTTTATGATAGTGTTTTTCCTTGAGTTCCTGTGTCTCCAACTACAAAGATAATCGATAAACATCACTAGTTTCCTGCAGAACAATATTGTCTTTTATTCTCATTTTACAGACACACATCAGTTGTTCTATTTGATAAAATTTCATGATATTTAGCAAAGCAATCTATCATATAATATGATAATATGATAGAAAGTAACAGATGATGATTTGGAATAATTTTTTATTTATTCTGATAACAAAAGTTGTTAAATGTTGGTTACGACTTTATTGTTTTGTGTTTTTTTCTAGATAATTTCAATCGGTTTACTGATTGATAATGCTTATCTTCTTGATAAACCGATAGAGAAGAGCCTTTTTCAAACACATTATTTAGGTAAGACTTGAATAAAAACTTCGTATGTCTTATTACCATTTCATAACTTACATTACTTATTTTAATTTTCCCCATATTTGTGCGTTTCATCTTTCTTATTCTACTAATATTACTTGTATATTCTTGTGGTGTGTAATAATGTCTACATATTATTTTAGATTCATCAACACTTTTTCTGCGTCTAGACAATAATACATTTGATTATTTAATCGTACTATCATCAAAATATTGAGAACTAATTGTTGATGCTTCAAACGATTGCATGTTTATTAGTAAAATTGAAGTTTTCTTTTCTCACTGAACGAATATTGAGGAAATAAAATTGTTAATTTACTTTACGAACTTATTCTGATGTTCTTTTTTATATGTCCTTAGAGCTAATCAGGATAATTCTTCGTCAACTTCAAATAGAGTACATTATTCTCCAGCTTGTTTGACTTTAGTTCGACCTACTAATATCATTTGATAATTATTAAAGTTATTCCTAAGTAATGAAAAGTAATACAAGTGACTTACTATTCCTGTACTTGATACATAACTATCTAAGAGAAAAACAGACATTAACATGAAGCCTGGCTCAGATTTGTGCTTTCCCAATTCTCCAGAACAGATTAGTTCTGTAGTGAACAAGAACACCAATGGGGACAACCGGATGTATTTGATACCAAATTACAGAACTAGTTAGTAAAATCTAAAAACCATATATCAAATGCTCAATTTTCAATATGTCCATCAATTGTCTCAAATGACTCAGACTTCCTTTGTTCTTGCATTTTCACACAAATTGCATGCTGTTTTCATTCTTTACTGTTCAGTCTTCTTGTCTCTCTGCTGCCAGACATTCTGTTCACGACAAACGTCATATACTACTTATGTTTACATAAGTAGCACACAGTACGACAGAATGAAAGTAACAAAAGAGATTGAAATAATATGTTAGCAATGACAAAAAAGGTTGAGCCTCGGGGATATGATTTGAAAACACTAAGTAGAAAGGTATGTATAAAGGTATACTGGAATTCAAGATCGAGGGGAAAATAAAGAGCAAATGCATCTGCGCCGTTGTGAATCATCCTGAACCATGTAACTGTCTCCAACCAAAACACACGGACTCCAACTAGACAGTCTGCTTCTACCATCAATTCTCAGACCGACAGTCAATGATTTCACGGACTGGTTTCAAGTGTTAATTTGGACGCCACCAGCTTTCTTTCAACTTTCATCTGTCGTTGAAGTAGGCCGTGGTCAGACACGTGTGATACATATCCCAACCCCTTCCGTCGATGAAGATTTACAACCTTATCAACCTATTTATTGCTTTTGCCAGGTATTCTATATCTAGCATTGCTCAATCGGTTATTTCATGGAGCGCAAGCAATAATTCGAAGGCCCTATGTTACATTCATCTATTAGAGTAAAATATCTGTGTTTTTGTAGTTTTAGTTTGTGTGTAATTTACTACTTTATTACTGTGTGTATAATTAGTTCTCTAATTAGCACAATTTTATTGCTATATTCCGGCCAAGTTTATGGGGTAGTATATTATCTGAGTAATCTGTTTAATTAATCACTTTCCATAAAAAATATGAGTTGTGGCGATTGAAATGTAACTTGTTTTCACTTTCACTTTAGTTTTGGCACCTCCTAAAGATGCAGCTTTACCGTATGATCTTCGAACAAAATTGCCAACCTATGGAGCTCAGTACAGTCCTCCTTCTTCCACTTGGTTATCCTCAAATTCAGGAGTTTCATCAACGCCTTCTACTGTAGAAAAATACAAGAACCGTTCCAATGGAGATTCATCAGGAGCTGGTGGAGTTGATGTTGAACCTAATGAGCGTGCATTGTTAGGTAGATTCTTGACTCGCCTACATAAACTTGATCCTGATATAATTATTGGACATGATTTGTGGGGACATCAAATTGAATTACTAATCCAAAGGTTGAATGCTAATAAAGTTCCTCATTGGCACCGTGTAGGACGGTTACGACGTTCTGTCAACTTCCCAATGAATTTAAACAGTCGGGTTAGTCTTCTTGTTTTATTCATTTGATCATTATTTCATTTTCCATAAGTCACAAATTAATATCACTTACTATAATGGTTTCTGGCATTTGAACGTAAAAATTTTACGTTACTTCACCTGTTATATTTAAACGAAAAGACGACTGAAATTTTGATTTAAACACAGAATTTCTAGTTTATCCCTTGGATCTCTAAACTACTTTATTTTATGTGTATTTTTAAATGATGTTCATACTGCTCAATTAATCAAGTTTTCAGTACCCAAAGGGCTTAGAACAGTTTGGCTTATATCACTTTATCTAACTAATACTTCTTTATCATTCGCACTTTTCCTAATTTTAGTCTTGGATTATTCGTCATTCAATGCCTGGCCGTCTTGTTTGTGACACCAAAGTATCTGCTCGTGAATTGGTTCGATCAAGAACATACAACCTTTCTGATCTAGCCAGTCAAGTTTTAGGGGAGGTCGCTTCTAAAAAGGACGACAAATCCTCGCAAATTAGTCTACTTCCAAAACGTCAAATTCCACCCATCCTAATCAGTCGACTGAATGGAAACACTAAATTTGTTTGTGATAATGATCTTTCAATAATGGGTTTTGGTGCAGAATTAGCAGATATTGAAATAGATTCTGCTGATTTGCGATGTTTGTTCTCTAATTCCGACTTAGTACGACAGCTTATTGATTTTTGTCTTTCTGATGCACATCTTGTCCTTAGACTATGTCATCAGTTACAGGTTAGTGATTCTCAAACATTTAATACCTGTCTTTATATTTTTATATTATGGTGAGGATCATTTTGCTGTTAAATAATCTTCCCAGTTCCGCGTAAGAAAAAGTGTTGGACTTGAATCAATTTAATGCACTAAAGCTTTACACTATCTCGATCTTTGTGACATAAGTTAAAATTAAAGCCTAAATTTCGTTGCTTCAATTTCACGTAGTGACAGTGTACTTTGAAAATCAGTTTTGAGGAAACTATGTAAAATTACAAGAGTCACAGGGACGAATGGTCGATCATATTTCTGACTAACATGTAAAAACGGTTGATACCTTTAAAAAGTCGAAATACTTAAATGGATCACAGTAACAGATTTATATTTTGTTCACTCGTGTTCAGTTTATTTATATTTTTGTCAATGTGATGTTTAATCTAATTTCTGTTGGTAAGCTACTGTTGCATTTTGTGTAAATACCTACAAATTTTTACTGTGCAGAAACTAAACTGTTACCTAAATATCTTTTCCTAAATTTTTACCCTGATGTTTCTTTACAAAATGTCTTTAACTCTATTGTTACCTTTTTCTTTTAGGTTTTACCTCTTGCAATGCAGATTACCTCTATTTGTGGCAACGTACTTAGTCGCACTTTGTCAGGTGGTCGTGCTGAGCGTAACGAGGCGTTACTTCTTCATGCCTTCACTCAACACGGATACATTGTCCCAGATCCACCTGTATCTCATCGCGGTCCGCATACTAATCGTCATGATGAGTGGGATGGTATTCAAGACCAAGCAGTTGAAGAAGTAGGAACTGGACGTAGGAAACCAGCCTATACTGGTGGATTAGTGCTTGAACCAAAAAAAGGTAGTTGGTATGTTATTTTTAAATGTTCTCACGTTTATCACAATCACGTTTTCTTTCGGCTTTCATTTTTGTGCTTCAGTTTGAAGTGTTCAGAATCGTAATATGAAATATTATCAATCATTAGATGCTCATAGTTGTATAACTCTAACTTTGTTATGCAATCATAGTATTTTGTTTCCGTTTACTTTGATAATTAACTTGTATATTTGAGATTTGCATCAGTTACTTTAGTGAAACGTGTGAGACTTGTTCGTCTTGAAGCTTATAAATTACATTATTTATATTCTAGATGTCTCCACTCAGAAGCAGGGTAACTTTTCCTATCATATTTATTTCGAGTCGCTGTATAAGTTCGTTATCAACTTTCTTGTTTTAGTGATATGTAACTCAGTTATCTCGAAAATACCTCTCAAGTACAAACGCTAACAGCTATCCGATTTCATCCGTATTTAGCTAAATTTGTTTATTAAACATGAATTTGAGACATGATTGTTGAGTACTATGGCCTTAAGCTGTTATTTTATTAGGTATATTTTACATGTCCTTTCAACAGACACTAAATAAATGCATATATGAACAATATCCAATTTAGTGCAGATATTTCCAAGTCCAATTTTTCTCACTTTATATCATAATGATTGGTAATCAACGAATTAAAAATAGATATACCGGGCATGGTGAGTCATCAAAAATAATCAGAAAATAACGATATCAAAAGAAGCAAATAAAATTGAGGAACAAGTGGTATGGAAAATTGCTATCATATCATGAACAGTTTTCAACCATAGGTATAGTTATTTCACTGACCCTAAACTAGAACTTTCCAATTCGTATATTATTCAAACCAATAGTTGTTGTTTTTATTTACCAATACCATATGTATGTTTGGTCATCCATATCCTTTTTTCAACTTATTTGTCTGCTTGCCACTATACCACAGCATGGACAACGGCTTAATTTTCATGCTGTTCATTTAATCAACTCAGTGGAGTTAACATACTAATCCCCCCTTGTACAGTATTGTACGATTATTATTAGTGTTTATTACTCAGTAACTTGAACATTAACAAGGAGATTCAACAGAATTATAATGGCAATATCACACTAAGCCCTAAAATTAAAGCTGTTGCACTCTATTTGTTGACACTTAAAAGTTTTTCCTATACCTTCGAAACGAACGTTAAAATTAAACTGAATATTAGCCAGTAAGGAGAAAGATGTACGTTTGTTTTAACTCATGGCTTTCCGATGGAATTAATTAGGGGAAGAATCTTTTTTCCTAATCTTCTGTATTTTATTTCGGTGTCCGTTAATTTGGTGGCTTGTTCAAAATCCCTATCATTTAGTCCCATAGATTAAGCAAGTCGTTGACTGTCAGATACTACTGAAAATCGGAAAAATAGTTGTTTGTTTTAAGGTTTCTGTTGTTTACGTTCGGGTTTGAAAATTATGTAACTTAAGATCAATGAAGTATTCACTGTATTTCATTTGTCTATTTCTTTCTAGTATATCTCGGGTGTTTTCATTTTAATCTATGTACTGTTAAGTTACTTTCATGGTTCATTATATCGTTCTGTTGTCTACTAGATTCGTCCAAAAATACTGACTTTTCTAACTACCAAAATTATTCTTAGTTATGCCTGATTATATTCCTTAAATATGGATTTTTTTATCTGTCACTTTATATTTTAAAGTGGCTCGTGTCTTACTTTTCACCTACAATTGCCATTTACATATTTTTAACCCATCAACATTTTTCCTCAAAATAGGCTTTTATGACAAATACATTCTACTTCTGGATTTCAACTCTTTATACCCATCTATTATACAAGAATTTAATATTTGCTTTACTACTGTTGACCGTGATCTTGTGGCAACTACTTCATCTGATAAAGAGGTATGTCTAAATTTAGTACCGTTTTTCTAATTAGTAAGTTGTTCGGCGCTGTCATTTTGTCAAACTTGTGACATGATTCGTTCTGTTTTGAGCTTTCAGAGTCAATTCATCGGGGAATAGAGTTTATGATTAACCATGAATTGGACATGCATACCGTTACTGTAGAAACTAGATCCAATATGAATTAGTTATGTGATGAATAATTCAAGAAAATTTTTACTTCAAATGTGTAAACAAAGCATTTTTAAAATGCTCTTTATGTTGAATTTCATCATGCTTTCATGCTGAATTTGTAGTTTCATTTTGGAACGTCATCTCTGATATCATACTTTTTTTCTAAACAATTAATTGTCGTTTAGTGATGTGATTATTGGTAATTTTTAAATATGCACATAATTGAGCAATTATTTTTCATATGCGCTGTTTTTCTACTATTTGCTTACTTTATATGTACAGAGTAATCACCGTTATTTCATGTCTATTACCGTCAGTCAATTAAATGAATGGCTTTTATTTTCGTCTAAATAACTTCTCCCAATTTTTTTAATAGTTGTTATACTTACTAGTGAGTGTGTCGTATATTATTCATATGGCCAAGAATAAATCACTATGACTTTATGAATAGCTAGATATATTGTCGTTTCAACATATTTTAGATTGCTAAATAAATTTTCATAATCATTTCTTTTATAGCCTTTAGATCTGGATACCATTGTTACCACTCTGTTAGCTACAGTTCATGGGGATTCCAATAATATATCTGTTGTAAACTCTGATGACAAGAAAATACGCCTTCCAGTCGATCAAGAACCTGGTTTATTACCTGCAGAAATTAGACGTTTAGTTGAATCACGTAAAGAAGTAAAAAAGTTGTTGGCAAATACATCATCTGGTGATGCTGCACAACGTGCACAATGGAATACTAGACAAGCTGCACTAAAGTTAACGGCCAATAGTGTTTATGGTTGTTTAGGGTTTGCTGCTTCTCGGTTCTGTGCTCGAGGTTTAGCTGCCTTAGTTACTGGTTTAGGACGTGCAGTGCTTATGAACACTAGAGACCTAGTGGAAAATATGAACATGGAAGTAAGTTGACTGTTTTTCGATTATTCTATTTATGCATAAATATAGGTTAAAATCAGTTTTTTATACACTTATTGATTTCCTAAACTCTTGGAGTTTAAACACACATTCAGTTAATTATTTGCTACACACCACGTATTCATTTATTTGTACATACTCAATGCTAGAATCGACGTTCATTGTATATAGAGGTAACGAGGAACATGACCAATAGTTCTCAGTACTGTTCGATCTCCAGTCGTCCTCATTTTGTTATTCCATTCCCTCAACAATCACCTAGATAAATATATTGGCTTTACAGTACTATAAAAATGATCAAATATCCTAAAATTATGTTAGTTTTGTTACCCATCTTTATAATTCTTCATATGCACATTTGAATACTTGTCTGTTACTTATCTACGAAGAATTCTTATTTATATTTCTATTGACAGATTATTTTATTGGAACTTTTTCAAATTTATTTTTATAATAAGGTTATTTACGGTGATACCGATTCCATTATGGTTAATACTAATACAACGGATTTATTAGCTGCATTAGCTATTGGTGAAAAAATACGCCAAGAAGTCAATAAACACTATCGTCTCTTAGAGCTTGATACAGATGGTGTTTATGCTGCTATGTTGCTTTTAGCTAAAAAGAAATATGCAGCCTTGTCAGTTATAAATCCTGTTCAGTGGGCTGCAGCCACAAAAATATCAATTAATCAAGGACTAACACCACAAGTTGTTTGTACAAAACAAGAAATGAAAGGTTTGGATATTGTTCGACGTGACTGGTCAGCACTTGCTATATCTGTTGGTCGACGGTGTGTGGCTGCTTTGTTGTCTGGTGAACCTAAAGATATCATTTTAGATCGCATACATGCTGATTTAACTGAAACAGCAGAAAAAGTGCGTCAAGGAAACTTACCTATTTCAGAATTTATTATAACTAAGGTAAGTTTATCTGAAGTTGATGAATTTCTAAATCTGAAACTCTTGTATACTTTAAACGTCTTAGATTATTCTACCTTATACAATGTATTCAGTTAACTGTTTCCTTTTCTAGTTTGGATCATTTTGTACTCACAGTTGATCTGTCTTCCATAACTCCAGTGAAATTGTCTGTTAATCTTTACAGAAATATGTATGCTTACGTAATTGTTTACAGTATTAATGCTTATTCGCATATTCTTTTGATTCATTTTTTGTTTGAAACGTTACAGATGCTAACTAAAAATCCGGAGGACTATTCTGATACAAAAAGTCAACCTCATGTACAAGTAGCTTTACGTCTCAACGGTTCTACTGCAGATGATAAGAAAACTGGCACGCGTCGACTTCGTGCAGGAGATACTGTCGAGTATGTAATCTGCGAAGATGGTTCCGGACAACTTGCTACACATCGTGGTTACAGTCCAACGGAGCTTACCAGTCGTTTGTATAAAGTATCTGACGGTATGTATTATCTTATAATATTTATTGCACTTCAGATTAGCATTAATATTATTTTTAATGTACACTACTCGGAAAAAGATTACTATGATAATTTTCTACTAGGGTTACTAAGTGTTCTAATGAACTTTAGTACAAGTGTATCTATTGTTTTGTGAAAATATTGTTCTAATATTATTGATTAGGCTTTTTTTATCATTATGTTAAATGGTATTTGAAAGGAAAAGGGTCTAAAATCGTATTTGATCATAAACTATATTAATGTGCATGAAATATATTTAAAAATATTAAGTATTAGAATCATTTGAAAAGAAGTGTAAGCATTTTCATTGTGTTATTTATGGTTCAGTTACTTGGCGATTAATAGTCAAAATAATTGCATTCTTTGTTTGTCTCTTTCAAATGGACAAATCTTTTTTTTGATATAGCGGACATCATCTCTTGTTAACATGTCGAGGAAGTTAAATCTTGCGACTTCGGTTTATGTTGGTGATTGGTGCTAATTGAAAACAGTCATTTCGTTAAGACATCAGTTAAACTAATTAACTAGGCAATTTGTCTTAATTCACAGCTTAACCTTGTAGCTAAGTTCAATCATCTTTGACTTTTGTTTTCAGTGTCTTCCGTTCGCCATGCATAGTATGATTGAATGAATATAATTAAGGCATCAAGATTATATCTATGTGTTGTTGATCAAATAATTTTCATACATCCAAATATTCCATTATTATCAAATTATTGTTTATTTCTTAACTCGGTTATGGGTCATAGGAATCTAATAAAACTTGAGTAGAAACATTTAATGTATGCATTTCCAGAAATTTTTTAACATGATCACCGAAAAGCAATACTAATAAGTACATTAACTTTATTCGTGATCCTCATGAAATCTGTTTTCGGTTGATATATTTCATCAGTTTGTTATCACATCAATGGAGCAATTCATAATCTGAACTTAATTTGTCCTTATTGTATTGTTTAACATCAGTTTATATGCTACAAAATACATAATTTGATTAGTTATTTTTCGATAATGCACTTATATAAATCGTATTACATCCTCATTCATATGGTTATCTTCAAAATTTGACCTATCAATTCTCCAAATGGGTATAATTGAGTTGTTTATATAGTATCAGAAAATATATCTTACGTTATTTTGCTTATTATGCGGTTCACGAAATATCTATGGTGATTGGTTTAATTATACGAGTGGTTTCATAATTAGTTTCGATAGTTTGCTTTGTATTGTTTACTTTATTGCCGCCATCTTTAGTTCTTTGACGTTCACTTGTTGTTCTCCTTTTAATTTACCTTTTCTAGATTCGGAACCATCTACAAAGGGAATTCTTTCAATCGACGTGAATTACTACTTAGCTCATCAAATACATCCTGTTGTTAGTCGACTAGTTGCACCCATTGACGGTACTTCTCCTGCTCGTATTGCTGATTGCCTTGGACTTGATCCATCAGGTTATCGTCGTTCTAATGTAACTACTATTGTAGATGAAGATGATGAAAATGTGAGTTCTCATCGTACTTTCTGCATAAATTTCATGCTCTTTCCGGTTACCTAATAATTTATTTTTATTTTTCCAGAACCCAGATAGTGGCTTTTCCTCTGGATTCTCTAGCTTCACTAATTGTGGAGATGTTGAACCACTTTACATCAATTGTCCACGAAATTGTGATGGTCCTCCAATCGCAATTAAAACATCAGCTTTTAGTGTGGTTGGTAAAACTTGGTTTGTGAGTTTTTATTCTAATTATTGTTCATTATTGTTAAATGTACTTTGGTTGCATTTTCTACTGTTTATCTGTACATAGCCAGATGTTGTTATCGTATAGATGTGTACAAATGTGTTTGATATACTTTAGTTAGTGAATTTGAGACAGTTTTTTGAAACTTAGGTTATTAGAGTTATTTAAGATTTATATTGGCTTGGTGTTAATAAATCTTGTTTTCCGTGGTTTTTTTTCAAATTTCTAAAGAAAATCAAATGTATGGAACTATTTTTTTTATTTTAGTGTCCTACATGTTCGCACAATTTATTGCTTTCACAAGATTCTACTCGCCTTGTTACTAATCGCTTGGTCTTTGAAGCGCGTCGTCTTATTGTCCGCTATCAATTAGGTTGGATGACTTGTGAGGATCCTGCTTGTGCTGTAGTCACACGTTCGTTACATTGTCCTCCAAGTTCTGGTCATCATACTATTGGTGAATCCGACGGTCTTTGGGCTCGTGGTGGACGTCCTCTCTGTGGAGTATGTGGAGGTCAGGCAACACTCAAGTCAAACTACTCTGAGGCAAAGCTCTATAGGCAGCTATGCTTTTTCAGATACCTAGTGACTCCACCAAACAATAAGAATGCTGGAAGTAATGCTGATATGGAAAGTAAGTCACAAAATAAATTTGTTGTTCTTGTATTATTGTTTCCTATTTATAGTGCCTCATTATTGTATTGATATAAAATAATTTTTACTGATTCTTTAGGTATATTTTGGGTTACTTATTTGTTGTACCTCATTGGATCGAACATATTTTGTAACGCGCTCGGAGTCAGTACTCAGAATAAGCTGTTGTTTTGTCTAAGAATTATCAGTGTCTTTGTCTTAAACATTCTCGAGTTTAAATAGTTCGTCTCATTTTTTATCCTAATAGTGTTAAAACCACATTATTTACTTAATTTTTCGGAGGCATCTAAAATTCCAGAGGGAAAATAAACTCTATTAACCATATGGAGTTGATACCACTTACGGTTTTTTATGATAGGTTCGCTATACCGGTTATATGGGTACTTAATTTATTGGTATTTATTTTATTAAGAGACGTTATTATGAACTTGAATACTTCAATAGAAACTTAAATTCCATCATAGTATGTGTGTAATCTACTTGTTCATACTAATTCGTGTTCTGTATTCCATTTTTCTTCCGTCTTCCCCCTCTCAAAGCCTGTGATTTAAGCCTAATAGTTCTTTACTTCCATTCTGTTTTATCATACATTATTGCACATTTGTGATGTGACGACGCGCATAGACCCACTTCTAAGTTAGATATTTACCATTTATATTATTTAAATAGATAGATTTAAACTAGCGACAGCGGTTTGTTATTTTATCACATTCACAATGTATGAAAATTTCAATGAGTTTTGAATGATCACCGATACTTATAAATTTAAACTTGCCTCACTTTCATCCGACTGATCAACTCCTTACTCTTTTTTACATAAATAATTATGATTCTATAAACTAATTACTGGATTGTTTCTTTTACTCACCTAATAGTTACTCTGCCTCCATTGGTTTCCACAATTCTTTCGCAATGCCGAATTCATTTTGATCGTCTTTTATCTCATTCTGCATTTGCGATGGTAGACTTGGGTAAATTATTTTCCGGTCTCCGTACAACTTGCACTGGACCTGGATTCCGTTAACTTGAAAGATCACTTCCCACTACAGTATCTGTATTATTTATATGTTTATTCATGAGTGTAAATATTTATTATTTTTCTACAAAAAACTTTTATGTACCGAGCTTTATTGAATAAACAAATTTCCTTCTACTTTCATAACGAGTATAATATATATTTATTTTTGTTTAGCTGACTAGACCGTTTACTTTTCCACCAGCAAAAAATGGCATACACAAATTATGCATTAACTACACACGCCGACAACGCACGCCACTCGTGTTGATGGTGCGACTGAGTGGAGCTGATTGAATCCCCGGGACTTGGTAGACACTCAGTTTGTTGTTTGACTGTCCGTGGGTCGTGGTGCATATGACAGATGTCACAACAGATCCACTTCGTGACATTTGAGCTGGCATCGAGTTGTGCGAGTGGAAGATACGTTCGATCAACGCTATACACACCACAATCGGTCCTGTTCCCTGTCAGTTATCGATGCCAGACTAGTGTGATTTGGTGCGGCTGCCGGACCACGTCGATAACTGGGCGCCGACACAGCACGAGGTATCCTTCAAGCCACCATCACGAATTTCTGCACACATGGTGAATGTGCGCTGACGCTCACAACTGTCTGTCATCAGCACGTGTGAACCGACAGTGATTGTTGGTCATTGGTCGATGACAGGTGGTTTGACGATCGGATTAGACTGATTGTTGTAGCTGACATAGAAACCACCAGATCACAATCTCCACTTGCTAATTTGATAGAGATCATTTGGAATTGCTGAAAAGAAGAGAGATTTGTCTCAGCAGACGGGTAGTTTGATGGATGTGCTGAAGTCAATGTATATTACAAGATTGATTCTTCAGTGTAAGCAAGCACACACATAAATACTTATACACTGGTGACAAGGCAAACTGTATTGTTGTACAATCGGACGTATACTTCGACAGACGTTGCGGTTGAGAAGGGTAGTGAAGGATGTATGGATTGGTGATAGTGTAGGCAGTGTGTAGACTGTTTGTTGTGTTGGCGTAGGTGTATAAGAAGTGGTGTTGATGGTGTTGATAGTAGTAGTTGTGGTTGTGGTCGTAGTCGTATTAGTATTTGTAGAAGCAGATGTGTTGATGGTGATATTGGTAGTAGAAGTGGTGGAATTCGTATTGATAATATTGGTATTAGTACTAGTACTGGTAGTATTATTGGTAGTAGTGGTAATAGTATAATTAGGTGTAGTATTAATATTAGTTGAACAGGATGTGCTTGTTAGTGTTGTGTGTTGTGTGTGATGAGTGTAAGTGGGCATAGAGTGGCGTCCCGGTGGCGCAATGGATAGCGCGTCGGACTTCTATTCCGGAGGTTGCGGGTTCGAGTCCCGCCCGGGATGGGCGCTTTTGAAAGACCTAATCTACTCAGTCATATGTGGTGAAAGCACACCTCGTGCCATCCACACACTGGCAGTTCGGACAGACGGTGCTGACCCGACGCGCACTGTGTGTGCGTGTCTCCAACACCGTCCACCCACTCCACTCGTGTTGATGGTGCGACTGAGTGGAGCTGATTGAATCCCCGGGACTTGGTAGACACTCAGTTTGTTGTTTGACTGTCCGTGGGTCGTGGTGCATATGACAGATGTCACAACAGATCCACTTCGTGACATTTGAGCTGGCATCGAGTTGTGCGAGTGGAAGATACGTTCGATCAACGCTATACACACCACAATCGGTCCTGTTCCCTGTCAGTTATCGATGCCAGACTAGTGTGATTTGGTGCGGCTGCCGGACCACGTCGATAACTGGGCGCCGACACAGCACGAGGTATCCTTCAAGCCACCATCACGAATTTCTGCACACATGGTGAATGTGCGCTGACGCTCACAACTGTCTGTCATCAGCACGTGTGAACCGACAGTGATTGTTGGTCATTGGTCGATGACAGGTGGTTTGACGATCGGATTAGACTGATTGTTGTAGCTGACATAGAAACCACCAGATCACAATCTCCACTTGCTAATTTGATAGAGATCATTTGGAATTGCTGAAAAGAAGAGAGATTTGTCTCAGCAGACGGGTAGTTTGATGGATGTGCTGAAGTCAATGTATATTACAAGATTGATTCTTCAGTGTAAGCAAGCACACACATAAATACTTATACACTGGTGACAAGGCAAACTGTATTGTTGTACAATCGGACGTATACTTCGACAGACGTTGCGGTTGAGAAGGGTAGTGAAGGATGTATGGATTGGTGATAGTGTAGGCAGTGTGTAGACTGTTTGTTGTGTTGGCGTAGGTGTATAAGAAGTGGTGTTGATGGTGTTGATAGTAGTAGTTGTGGTTGTGGTCGTAGTCGTATTAGTATTTGTAGAAGCAGATGTGTTGATGGTGATATTGGTAGTAGAAGTGGTGGAATTCGTATTGATAATATTGGTATTAGTACTAGTACTGGTAGTATTATTGGTAGTAGTGGTAATAGTATAATTAGGTGTAGTATTAATATTAGTTGAACAGGATGTGCTTGTTAGTGTTGTGTGTTGTGTGTGATGAGTGTAAGTGGGCATAGAGTGGCGTCCCGGTGGCGCAATGGATAGCGCGTCGGACTTCTATTCCGGAGGTTGCGGGTTCGAGTCCCGCCCGGGATGGGCGCTTTTGAAAGACCTAATCTACTCAGTCATCACGAATTTCTGCACACATCGCTAGTATGCATTTTTTATTTTAGTCGAAATTTTCTTAATTTTTATTCCTTTATTTTAGATTTATCTACTTCTCTTTTTAATTAACGGATATAATAATTTGTGAATTTTTTGACTTATTTGTTTTGATTTTTACACTCTTTGAATATATTTTGAAATATTGTCTTTATTTAATTAGATGTGATTTTTTTTATTGTGAATGATTAAAATGTATATTAAGTTGAATAAAATACTTAAATTTATCTTACTCTTCTCTATATGTTTTGAATATTAGTTCTTTTATAGAATTCGACCGTACTTTTTTCTAGAGATTTTACAATGATAAATCATATGGATTTGAGAGGAGGTGTATAACTTAAATGAACATTATAGCATATCATTTAAGTTATAAATCACTTTTATAGTTTGTTTTTTTTGTTTTTTATAATGATTATGTTTAAAGCTAATGAATAATTTATGTGTTTTGTTTTTCTTTGATAAGGGTGATAATTATTCTATATGACTTTATCTAATTCACAGACTACTTATTTGTATTAAGTAGAATTTATCAGAACAAATAAATAAATACGAATCTCATAAATTAATTGGTATAGATTTTTATAATCTATATGACTCACTTCTGTCTCTTCTTTTAAATTCATTAATTAACTATCATGGATTACATTCAATTGTATCAGATATATATAATCATCATTTGTTTTGATAGAAAGCATATTAAAGCAAGTCAACTACTTCAATAGTAATAATTTTAATGAATTATTCATATATTGTCAACAATATCATGGTGAAAAATTGAAAGTAATGAGTGAAGATACTAATAATAATACTAACAATAATTCATCAGACTTCACTTGTTTTACTAGTATCTTCCCATTGTTATTTAGGACTGCAATTGATAGATCTCATGTTGATATATGTTCATCCTGTGCGGAATGCCTCGATTTAGTCTTAAATCACAAGCTTTTTAGGCAAGGATGGATAGTGGCTAGCACTGGAATACAGAAAAAGTGTTTCGTCCTATTTGGGACTTGTCAGCTGAATGTACCTACATCCGAAATGATGTTCATTCCGGGACTCGAATCCAGTACCGTTCTCTTTAAACTCCATCGCGTCATCCACTTAGCTACTGAGTCGTGGGTAACGTGATGGCTTTCTAGTGGACGGCATTGGGTTCGAGTCCCGGAATGAACATCAACTCGGATTTAAGTACATCCAGCTGACGAGTCCTAAATAGGACGAAACGCTCATCCTAGGTTCCACAGCTAGCCACTATCCATATTTGCTTAATTAACCAGACTGTTTATAAATTTAATTTGATTGTTTTATATCAATAATGATTAAGACACCTAATGGTTCTATTAGTTACGTTTAGATTGAGGTTAGCAGTGGTATCCAGAGTCCAAGTTTTGTCCTTCATGAGACTAATCAGTTGGCTACCTCCACTTCAGTGCTGAGAAATATAAAGAAACAATAGTAAAACTTAGCGTCGCTATTATTAGTATATCTAAAGAGCTAACCTATTTCTTTCTCAAATCTTTTGTGAAGAAAGTTTTTATGAAGATGACTAAATTTTTGTGTTAAGTATTTTTCCAACTTACATCAGTACTATTATTCTGATGTAATTTTCAACTAAATCATATTATAGTAAATCCATTATTAAATGTGCTATTTTTAGCATATAGTTTTCATGTTACCTTTTGATTATCATTTGTTACACGCTTTCTGACAATTTATATGGCATACAAACCGTACTATTTTATTGGTTTACAAAGTATTGAATTCTTTAGTTGAGTCGTTGTTGAAGATTCATAAGGAGTGAAAATAATTAAAATCAATGACTGACACCAGATAAAAAACTATTTAATATTATTAAGCATTAGAAACCTGTTTTTCTTTACAGTTTTCTAATGAACTTAAAAGTGGAAACCGACAGGCTTCGAATTAGTGATACAAACCTATTCAACTTATCTCAAAAAGTAAAATTTGTAGATTCAATTCTTGTTACGTTCATTGAGTCATATAAATAATGAGTCCCAAATAAAAGTAAGACTTTTCTAGCTCTCCAGTTTACGTTATTACATGACAAGAAAAGCTCCTGCAAACTATTGTAATTTTTATAATAACTGTGAAATATCAGAAGAACAATAACCTTTTCTCCCTTAGCTTTTTTTATAAATATTGTTCAAACACATTTGTTCACTAGAATTAGGAATAAAACTAGTGATATCCAAATACTAAATACTTTCACTTCCTTTCGAAATATAAATTATAATTAAAAACATGTCGGGTTACGTAATTAGACCTCGTGTTTTGCTTAAAACATGTGTGAAAATAGTTGATAAGTACTATTTATTTCAAAACTATTTATTTAATATTATATAAGCTACTTATGAGTAACTTATTTTACTGCACATATTTTCATTCATAATACTGTAGATTAAGAGAATGGAAGTGTTTTTTTAATTTTACTTAACTAGAGATGAATTTATCCCAATAAGCT